ATTTTAGTTACATGTTATATTTATATTTTATAACTACAATGAGTAAGAAATTATAACGTGGATGCAATATATTATATATATACACGTATATTATATTATATTCTGTTTTATGATAATAATATAGTAGTTGTATATTTGTGTGTTTGCTCTGGGATTTTAATGCAATAATTGTAAGAAAGTGGATCAATTGATACAGATTTTAATATGCGTTTCAATCATTATTCATTTTAATATCAGCAAAAAATTTCTATCAAAAATATATTTAAATAGTATAAGTTTTTATTAAGTTTACCCTTTCAATGTCGGTTATTATGTTGTCATCAAGAAGCCGGTTAGTCGCCTCGGGAATAAAATGAATTATTTGTACATATTTTTGAGCTTGAACACCTGCTTTATATGGTAATACACCAGACTGCTCGATGACATTTGGATTCTTTACTATTCCATCTTGACGAAATCTACAATTTTTTTAAATGTTAATTATGCACTTTAGCAATCTCAAATCTTGAAATTTATTTAACACTGTCATAAGAATCTATTATTTACCTGTGCATAATTGCAACAGTTAAAGCTCGTAAATCCATATTCTGATTTTCTATATTCTCGATTTTTCGGAGAATCGCAATTAATGTATTTAAAGTATGGGGCAATCTATTATTTTTTTCTAGAAGATATTTATTTTCGTAACATTCTCGAAGTGTTGATGTAATACTTCGATATGTATTTTCTTGCGCGGAAACGCCTGAAATAATATGTATAAAGAAAATTAAGCTGTATTGTTTACAAAATTATAAACTCTTGTTATACATCTTATTATGCGTAATAAGAATGATATATATAATATTTTTAATTATATTTATATATAACATATTTTAACTTTTCTGTAAATGACTGAACGCCTAATGGACATCGTGTACTATCTGCGGTGTTTCATATAGATTTTTAGATAAATAGAATTGTAAGATAAACATTAATCTTTTTTATAAAAAAATATCAAATATTACAGAGTCATTTTTGAGTTTAAACGCATTTAAACTCAATTTCAATCTGATTTGGTTTATGACATCGTTTTTAGCATTTAAAAATCTATAAGATTTTGTCTAATTTAAAATAAAACAATGTTTTGTAAACTAATTATCAAAACAATTTTTAATGTAATAATAAATGTTTGAAATTTTACAGAATGAAAAAAGATATGTATTATATAAAATTATGTTTTTATATTTTTAATTTGCATTAACTTTGAACAATTTTTAATATGTTTAATAAGAAAAATTCTCATAATTCTTATATGATATATATTTCATAATATATTTCATAATTTTTAATTTATGAAGTTGTCTAAAATGAAAAATATATACTTCAAATTTTTTTAAGTTTTATAAGTTTTATTTAGGAATTATAGAATGAGAAATATTTTGGAATGTATATACAAGAATTATGGAAACAACGTAGATTTTCTTAAGCAATCCATTTCAAAAATCTTTCAATTAGTAACAAAAGATCTAAAAAATTTTGAGAAGTTATAAATTTTATACAAAAAGTTTACAAAAATTATATGAAGAATTTTGGAAACTTTTTATTGCAAATATTAATACATAACAAAATTAATTGTATATTATAAATTAAAATAATAAACTTCTTACCAAGAACAAATAGAATAATCCAGAAATATAATCGACCAATCATTTTGTGCTGTAAAAGAACAAGAAATGTAGAATTGTATTCACTGAATCGACACTTCGTATCTCAATTAATATGTATCATTGTATTGAGAAAAACGGTATTTAAACTTATTTGAAAATCGAAATCTTATTCGCAGGATTTATGTAAGATACGCTGTTCCTTCGATTTCATTTAACAAGATACTACACCACACCTATTTAGAGACATAGTAATATCTACCACCACTATCAAGAGATAAGATACGACATGTATGAGTAATCTACTCCCACTCGTAGAGATGATCCTTGTTAGAAAATATCATTCAATCGCTTGATTAATATAATTTCGTAAAATTACGAAATAATAATATTAATCTCATAATATATATGTACTTCGTTCTCACAAGATTGCATGCAAAATTATATTTTACAATTTTACATTATCACTCATCCGTAGGAGCGTTATGTGCTGCTGTTAAGCGACGGAATCAGATAAAAATTTTGTTTTTAAACAAAAGATGGTAACACAGATCACAATTAAACACATGTCGGGTTAACATTCCTCTCGGATGCATTATTTCTACTTGTAATATATAGAAACATTTAAGACGCGTATCACAGATCGCGCTTATCAGCATTAAAGAACGTAATCTTATTATATTTTCACACATATATACACACACACTGTGATGATGTGTACGTGAATCATTGAAAAATATACGAACCAGGTGAAACATAAGCGTACGTAACTGAATCCGTAAGCGGCAATATCTTGTCATTGAGAAGATAAAGTTTTCATACTTTTTTACTTATATTCTATGATAAGGAATTAATAATTTAAACCATACTTCGGCAATTTAAAAATTATTTAAATATTTATTATTTAAATAAGATTTTTGATTGACGGTACGAATATTCGACGAAAAAGACTTGTTATTTTCTTTGACGGGAATAAGTTCGAAAGAATCTTAACTACATTTACCAGTAGACGAACTTAAGAAACGTTACACGAATAATAAAGAGTTTTTGCAATACCGTGTATTCAGATACGGTAAACGCTAATTTAGTGGAAAGTCAAAACTGCACATGCGCATTTCGATTTTCCACCAAATAACAAAACTTTAGTCGTATATCTGGATCTACGGTATTGCCCTAATAATATAACATGCAAAACTATATTCGTCTTCCCATGTGCTACTGGATGTTATTTGTAAAACATTAAAAATTACATTAAAAATTCATTCTTACGTAAAAATAAAAATAAGAGGAACAATTTCCAATGGCCTTAATCTTGACAAATATTTTATTATCCAGATTATGCTTCTGAACGTTAATTCAAAAGGTTTTAGTCGTCGATCGGACACCTATAAATGCGTCGGCGGTACTATAACATCCAAGCCGATCATAATTCGAAAAGTACTTGAAAAAATGAAAAAATATTTTGTTATAATGTTTTAAAGAACTCTCATGATAAGCTATAAGAATGCAATAAAAATGGGGGTTTCTATTTTTAAAAAATCGATGTGACCTTGACCTGATCTTGGCGACGCCAATAAAATATGAAATGTCTTTGTAAAGTACTAATTTTGTTATATATATATATATACCTTAAAATTTTTATATGCAAAATAATTAGAGAAATCATTGTGTAAAAAATTATACAATTCCATTTAAAAAAGTGAAGGTGACTTTGAAATCTCCGAAGCGTCTCCATCCAGAAAAACTATTAGTAGTACATATTCTTTTTGATGTTATACCAGCAAATGAGAATGGATTGGAATAAATTAAAATGGATTCAGATTTTCAGAAATATTGATTTACGAATGTTAAAATAAATGTTTTCCAATCCTGAATGCATGTTTATTCATTTATAGGAATTACATGGAGCATATCTCTATGCCTTTCAATCTAAAAATAATATTAGCTTTTTCTGTGCACATTGTGAATACTGTTCAATTCAAAATTTTGAATAGGAAATGTAATTTTTCAATCCAATTGCATCCAATTGAATCCAATTAAATCAAAAAAAAGTATTCGCTATTTAAAATACGCATTCAAATAGAAAAAAATTTCAATCCATTTTAATTCATTCTCATTTGCTGGAAACTTTAATAAATATATTATTTTATATCTCTAAAAATAGTGGAAAGATTCTAAGTGGACAGAGTTACTGCTCCACTCTGTATATAACATATGTGTTATATTGCAGTTATATTGTTGAGTGAGAAATTACAACTAACATGTACGTTACATGTAACTTGGTGTTTGCTAAGTGTGTAACACAGTGATCATTTCATCTTTGTTTAACATGGCGAACAATAAGGATATAATGATTCATTATGTTACACTAAAGAGAAATCTGACAGTGGACATCCGACCTTTTTTGTACCAAACCTCATAAAGTAATATTCAAATTTTTGTGATTCTTTTCTATATTATTACGTAAGTTAGACAAGGATAAACAATCAATTTTGATTATTCGTCCTTGTCTAATCTACGTAATGGAACAGATCCCAAAAACGTAGACATTACCCTACGAGGTTTGGTATACGAAAAAGGCCGGAATATCCACTTTCCGGTTCCTCTCTGTATCACCTGCGTCTTTTATTGTTGCAGCTTCCAATGAGATGT